TTCTCAATTCAAGTTGAAGTGAGAGGAAAATCAAATATACAAGTCAAGCAAGCAATATCGATCACTTTTAGAAGTTTACAAAATCTACTAAAAAATTGGGAGCACGAGTATCAATTCAAATCTCAAGTATGGACATGGATTCAATCATCAACATCAAACAGAGAGGGGCATACATGACCAAACATCCCAAGGGTTCAACGTTGACAATGGTTCGAAGCTAAACTTCCAAGAAATTCAACTCAAGCCTCATGTGTAATCAAACCAAGTGAAGGAGTTCAGTCATTTACAAAGTCGATTTTCGGTCAACACATAACTTCGAGATTCAAGCCGTTAATCATCAACAATTAACCAAGAGTTAAAGAAAGCCTCAGCGATGCACAAGTTCAAGAACGACAGACTCAAGTCATCAATATCAGTCAAAAAAATTTCGGCCAACATTCAAGCCCAAACCCAAAATTCGGCTTTCCCCCAAAATTGAAGAGCTAGGTTTTCAAATATCAAGTCATGAACACAACCAAAGGATCAAAATTCGGTCACCATCAAAACCCAATGTCAATTTCAGCTTTTCCCCCAAAATTCAAGAACTAGGGTTTCAACTATCAAGCTAAAAAATCAAAGACTCAACCAAAATTGAAGTGAGGATGTTGAAGCTTACCTAGATCCGAAGAAGAATCGAGGAGGAGAAGAAGCACGTAAGTGCTCAGACCCAAATCAACAAATTGCCAAACCCTAGCTTGTGAAGAGATGGAAAATTCGGCCAAACTCAAGAACTTCTGAAAAGTATTTTGATCTTAGCAAAGTTAAGGAGTTTGAGAGTTCTTAAAGGAGAAAATTTTCTGTAGTATAAGAGTTCTTGAAGAAGTAGAATTTGGGGAAGAAGAAACAGAAGAATGGGGAAGGATAACCCTGGAACCGAAGAAATGGAAAAGAAAGAATCAAAGAAATCGGGATTTTTAATCCCTAATAACTGCGCCCGACCCGCGTTCCAGCGGGTCGGATTGATGCCCGATCCGCGCTCGCGCGGGTCAGATTGATCTGACCCACGCTCGCGCGGGTCGGATCAATCTGACTAGGGTTCGCACGGGTCGGATCCATCTGACCCATGTTCGCATGGGTCGGGTATGATTCAGTGGTCGTTTTGTTGAGTTTCGCGGTATTTTCGCTCACGTTCGAGATATTCGGGACCCAATATCATATTTCCGGATGACTTCGCGGCATTTTCACCCACTTTTGAGATATTCGGGACCCACGTATACTCCAATGGGCACACGAGTCTAAACTGTTTACCACTTTCGACGGGGAGTTCCTAGAGAATATTACGTGTGATAATTCTTAAGGATAACCCGACAACTTCCGACGGGTACACGAGATTAAACTGATTCCCGAAACTCTCAGGAGTATACGAGTATAAATTGGTCCTCCTCAGGTCAACACGAAACCCTAAGGTCAACGTCGGTCAACGCGTAGCCCCAGGTCAACGCTAGTCAACGCATTGCGACGAGAGTCAATGTCGATTGATACGAAACCCTAAGATCAATGCCGATCAACGCGTAGCCTCAGGTCAATGCCAGTCAACGTGTCGCGACGAGAGTCAGCGCTGATCGATACGAAACCCTAGGGTCAACGTCGGTAAACGCGTAGCCCCAGGTCAACGCCAGTCAACGCGTTGCGACGAGAGTCAACGCCGATCGATACGAAACCCTAGGGTCAACGTCGGTCAACGCGTAGCCCTAGGTTAACGTCAGTCAACGCATTGTGACGAGGATCAACGCGAAACTCTAGGGTCAACGCCGGTCCACGCGTAGTCCCAGGTCAACGCCAGTCAACGCGTTGCGACAAGAGTCAACGCCAATTGATATGAAACCCTAGGATCAACACCGGTCAACGCGTAGCCCCAGGTCAACGCCGGTCAACGCGTTACAACACAGATAATTAGTTCAAAAGCCAACTTAATGGCACGAGCGAAAATCAACTCACTAATTCCGGTTCGAGGTTTCAACAACGATCAGACGATAAACACAGCACCAAGAAAAATTTTAGTTATTCGACAAAATACAAAATAGACTGAAATATAGAGAAGTCAAGAACTGAAACCAGTTATAGGTCCTTTGACACCGATTGAAGGTGGGGGTCTATCATATCCAAAGCATTTTAGATTCCTCTATAAAAGAATAAGGCTGAAACGCTTTGGAGGGGGTATCTGTAGGCGTCTAAAAATGCCTATGAGAGCCCGCACGAAACTGGAAACAAAGAGTGAACGAGTCAAGAAGGCTTACCCAATTAGCCCGCGCGCATCGGTCAACACGCGCGTCAATCAGCTCATGCGCGTCGTTCAAGACACGCGTCAATCAGCTCGCGCGCGTTGGTCAACAAGCGCGCGTCAATCAGCTCACGCGCGTCGGTCAACACGCGTGCGTCAATCACACACACAACATGCAATCATATGTTGCACGTTAACCAACACGCGTACATCAGGCGGAACCCAAGTGACGACGTGTTCGACGGTCAGTCCTGCAATAAAGCGATCAAGGTCAGGCGAGGTCGACCAAATACACGAAACGCGAAAAATAGACAAATCTTGGAAAATAAAAGCGCTCAAAAAGGAGGAGTTCGGCGGAAGGCGAGCCGACCCGCGCCGCGCGGGACAGGCATGGCCGGACCCGCAGCCACCGAGGGTGCGGGATTCCCGACCGCGCAATGCTGCGGTCGATTTGTCCGACCCCCCCTCCTCCCGAGGTCAGCAGGGCCCGTCGCACAGTCTAGAGCCCGAAACGCGTTTTCGACGGTTTTAAAGCGGTTTTCATAGGATTTATTTGTTCCAGGGGTTCCCAACTGACTTGATATCATCCACAAACGTGGTTAGGCTGTTGCTAACTGAAGATAAGATCAAATCACTCATTCTCATCCAAATACCCACGCCCAAGGCCTATAAATATCAGCCCAAGGCCTTCATTTTATAGGGCTGGAATTTTATCAAGAGGACGAAATGCTGCTGGATTGAGGAGTCAAGGAGCACAAAATTTCAGCGAAGGTTAGCGAGATCCCGACGAACTTCAGCATAAAGAGGAAGGCTTTCGAAGGATCCGTGTTCGTATTTTCCCCCCGTCCGTTCCTTGAGATTTGGCTTTGTCTTAATCTCGAGAAGAGCCACTGATTTCGCTTGGTTTATTTCAGCGCTTCAAGCGACTACTTCCTTGGTGAAGTAGAAGCTCTATCAATTTTCCGACAACCGGATCTGATCCGCGGTCGTCCACGGATATCGACATCCCCGGCACAGGCGAAGAACCCACGTAAGCAAGAGCCGATAAATGATTCTTGTGTTTATTTTCAAGAGAGTTATAATTTTTTATTTTCGTTATTTGAATTCATTGTAAACGATTAAAGTTGTAATGAAATCGATAATGAAGGTGGCTTTCGACGAAAACATCCATAGGATTGTATCAGAATGATAGATGATACACATATTGATGCAATGATCCCCACTGCATATGTACCCCATTTTAGAGGTCGCAAATGGCTTACTCAAAATGTATTGTCTGCGACAACTCCAAACAAGCATTTAACATATGTCATGGCTGGTTGGGAGGGATCTGCTAATGACTTCACAGTATTGAAGAGTGCACTCTCTTCAGCACCACCAAATGGTTTAGGCGTTTATGATGGTATTAGCATTATCATTTTAACACAAATAATTAATTTAGTAGGATGAAATGGATAATTTTGACATGTAATTTTTTGTGTGTGTAAATATTACTTATGTGATGCCCGGTATACCACTATGCCTGGTTTCATTTCTCCTTATCATGGAATAAGATATCACTTGAAAGAGCACTCTGGTAGGGATTCAAATAATCATCGAGAATTGTTCAATCTTCGACACTCCTCTTCGAACTAAAATTGAAGCATCTTTTGGAATTTTGAAGAATCGCTTTAAAGTTTTATCGGCAAAACCCCATCATCCCTTTTCTACACAAGTTGACATCGTACTTGGTTGCACTGTCTTACATAGCTACATAGCAATTGCGGATCTAGATGATAAGTTTCTTAATGAGACGATAGACGATGAAAATGCGGAGATAGTTACTACTGATAATGATCCTATACTGGATTTTTCTCAAAATTTAACCTCTAAAGAACAATCTGAAGCAAGGGAGGAATGGAAACAAAAGGACTAGTTAGCATGGGATATGTGGGTAGATTACTGTATAAAATTTCGCAGAGGATATACCATTGAGACCCGGATGTACTGAATTAAATATATTGTTCCTCTTAGGCCTTTACTATTAGAGTGTAGTATGTTTCTTATTCTATTTATGAACTCATTTGTCCTTATAACATTGAATTTTGTTTAATAATATATGGTAGCACTAAATGAGTTAAATTTTGTATTGCTAACTATTAGTTTTCCCTTGATAACGCTTCAGAGATGGATTTCTTTGTAACATGTACAGTATCAGTATGCAATTATGTGTTGATTGCTATATTTTGTATTAGATTGCCACTATGAACTTAATGCGTTGGATCTTTGAGATTATCCTTTAAAATTTTTAGTTTTCATTACTACTCAAATTTTTTATTGTTAGTATATTGTTTACTGAATGGGTTGATGTTGTGTTATTTTCTTACAAATTCTATGTTTTGGGTTGTTAGTTGTTATCATGCGCCTTGCAAATGCACTTGCAATTGAGCTTGCACTATCACTTATCTATGTAAATTGATCCATGAATTACATATATTACTGGTTAAAGCATTAGCTTGCCAAAAATAAATAACTGATAGTGCTCTCATATCTGGGAATATAAATATATGTCTAGAATTAGTTGATTAGTGCACTTATACACACACACACACATTAAAGTAAAAAAAATATTTTTTGCACATTATACTTGCAACCATTATTCCCAACTTTTTTTGTATCAAAAGTTCATTTTATTTTACTTCACTACCTTGCCATTCAGATTTTGTTTTTGATCCTTTATTTTCTTTAATTATGCATACAGGATGGGTGATATAACAAAGTTTACAAAGACAACCACACAACCTAATGGCAACACCTCACAAACACCTCAACCTTCAACCTTTGACGCACAAGGCATGCAACCCATGCAATGTTCTATGATGGGGATCAACCCATCTGCTCTGGGCATCACTCCTACTGGATATCCTCATTTTGACCCTCTAACTTGGGCGATGGCTTCAAATACAATGAAAGGTCCCTTTATGCAGTTTTTGCCAGGACCACCAGTTATGCCAAGAGGTGGAAGTACCTACGGATCTCCTATTGCTTCTGCTCCTACAGATTCATGTAGAAATTCTATGAAGAGTACTAGGAGGGAAAATGACACTGAAGTGATGATGGGGACATCCGGACACATACACGGGATTTTCGCCGAGTTTATCAGCGAAGGAGACGCCAGGTTGCCTTTCTGATTTACACTCGACAGGGTCGAGTTCTCTCCCACCCGGGGAGAATGATGGGGACATCCGGACACATACACAGGATTTTCGCCGAGTTTATCAGCGAGGGAGACGCCAGGTTGCAGCACTATGGATTTGATTTCAATTGTAATAAATTAGTTTGAAATTTGAATTTATTTTTTGAATTTCGAATTTCATTTGGCAGCTAATTAGTTAAGTGGTTGTATTTTGGTTATGAGAGAGATTTGAGGGATTTAGAGGATTTTCCAAAACTGTAATTTGCTTTATTTAAACTCTCCTGTAATCAGTTTGGAAAAATTATTGAAGATGAATGAAATTTGATTTGCTTAATCATGGTGTGAAACCCTAAGCTAATTGAATTTTTTTATCAGCCGACATTCTCTTCCTCACAAAAGAAAACAAGGGAAAATCGAAATCCGCACTGTTCATCATCTTCCTCCTCCATACAATCAAAATCCAACCACACAGTCCTCCCCTTTACAACCGCAACAACCCCACTCGAGTAACCCACCGGACCTCCGCCCTCCACCCTCGGCTCAAGCAACCACCACCACCTCCACAACCGCCGCCAACAACGAACCCAAATCCCACCTCCACCGCCACCAAGATCCACCTCCGTTCCCTCTCCTCCAACCACCACCCAAGCGCCTGAAACCCACCTTCAAAACAGCCAACGCCCAGCCCGACGACTTCCAGAACCCGATTCCCGTCGTCCTCCTCCTCCCGTGCAACCACACCTCCAGTCTCCGTCCGCTCAGGCCGCCGCCGACTTCACCCGCCCCTCCGCCGTTTGGTTCAGTCCTCGATCCGCGCCCTTCTCCTCTCCATTGCAACGAACGAAGGGAAGCCTTGGATCTGAGTTGATTTGTTCAGACCCCTCCCCTTTCCTACTTATTTGTTGGGTTTGTTTGGTTCAGATCCGAACCGAACCAAGTGGGTTCAGATCTGTTTATTTTGGGTTCATTGGTATTGATTTGTATTCGTGATTGCTCGATTCTGTTGGTGTATGGCTGATCCTGATGCTGATGACGGACTCGTGATAGATCCAGAGACCGGCATAGTAGATCTACAACTTTCCCCGTGGTTTGATTATCAGTCATTCGAGAGCGTGCCCGAGTACGTTGAGCGTGTGACTCATCAGATTGTCGGTAGTGTGGAAGCCCAGTTAGGTATCAGTTCGTTTCATAGGCGTTTCAGTCCAGACGCGCCACTTCATCCCAATTACGTGGCTCTCGGAGGAGAACTTCCTCCCCTCATTTTTGGCGTGTACGAACCACCACCAGAGGAGCCTCCCGTCGAACCAGTTCAACCCGACGAAGGTTTAATTTTCTTTCGCCCAAATATTTTCGGACCCGCTTTTGCTTGCATGTTGCTATCAATATTATTATCAATCGTATTTGTGCTGTATTCAGTTTGATTAAGTGAGCGAGCGAATCTGTTGCTAAGTACTTTACTTATCCAAATATTACACTTTGAACTGTATTGAGAGAACGAATCATTACATTTATTTTCTGGATCATTTGCAAAAGATTTGAACTTAGTACATTGCAATTTTTGCTTAAAACCCATCGAAAGCTACACTTTATTCTTGAGCTTCCTGCCTAGATCGATCGCTGATTTGGCGAAGCATTGTTGTCGTTAATCTTCATACCTGCATCACATTGTTTCGCATCATTTTTGGTATCAGAGCACCCGGTTCTAGGTTAGGAAATTTGTGTCTTTATAATAATAAAAAAAAATTATTAGTCATCTCATTTAATTTTTTTTGCACCCACTCATTTCATTGCATTTAGTGCATGCCCACTCGTACCGGTCTACCCTATCGCTTAGGAGAGTCAAGTGAGTCGACTAGTGAGTCCAGTATGTCAGGCAGTAGCGATTCCGAACTCTATAAGAAACTCGATGAGCTAGCAGGACAATTAGGTGCCGTAGTCCAGGGTTTAACCAATCTCCGAAATGAAACCAACGAAAAGTTTGCTAGGCTCGAAGAAGCTCGTGTTGCAACCCCGCCACCGCAAGGTCAAGGTTATGAACACTTCGCCCCGCCGCTGCAAGGTCAAGGCTATGGAAACATCGTTCAATCAACCGATACCTGATCCGGATGCGCAATACTTAAGGAGTATTAAGATCAACGCCCCAACTTTCGACGGCAAGCTCGACCCACAAGCTTTCTTGGACTGGCTGAAGAGTATGGATCGTTATTTTGATTGGTACGCCCTGACGGAACCCCGAAAGGTCAAGTTCGCCGCAATGAAACTTACCGGACCCGCCTGCCAATATTGGACCAACCTCGAAACGTTGAGGCACATTAGAGGTGAGTTACCGATTACAACTTGGCGAGAAATGACCAACGAACTTAAACAGAAATACCTTCCGCCATCCTTTTATCATCGGTTGTTAGATAAGTGGCATCGCCTCACTCAAGGAACCAAATCTGCGAAAGACTACGTCGCACAATTTGACGAACTGTTCACTCGATGCAACACTATTGAACAAGAGGCGCCAATGAAAGTCTTGTCGAAGTTTAGAGCTGGATTGAGAAATGATCTGCAAACCGAACTCTTTGCTCGGGGAGTAGACACCCTTGAAAAAGCTTACGCGTTAGTTCAGGATCTAGATGAATCAAAATCCCATCAATCTTATAGGAGTCAGGATTTTAGAAATCATTCCTCCCAACCTTCCCGTGCCACTACTTCTAGTCATCCTCCGAGTCGATATAACCCTAGTTCTTCCTAGTCGAAAGTCGATTCCAAAGGCAAGGAACCGGAGAGAGATTTCTCCAAGATTGGAGCTCACGTCAAGTGCTACAAATGCCAAGGGTATGGGCATGTTTCTGCGAACTGTCCGACCCGTCACAAGGTTGCTATCATTGATGGACAATACGAATACGAGCCTGAATCAGAAGGTGACGAGTTTGTCCATCAAATTGACGATGATACCGATGATTTCGAGGATGATGCAGATGATACTATCTTGAGTTGTCTTAGACAAATTGAAACTCCTACTGTATCAGTTGTCAGATGCGCCATCTCTCAACCCAAGGTTGTTGATGATTGGAGACGTACTTCTATTTTCCATACGTTCACAAAGATTGGTGATAAAAATTGTAAAGTGATCGTGGACAGTGGAAGTTGCATTAACGCGGTCTCCTCAGCTGTGATCGCTAAGCTTGGTCTCAAGGTTGTACCCCATCCTAATCCATACAAGGTATCATGGATTAACGACACCGCCCTCAATGTCCAAGAGAGATGCCTAGTCCCTCTTCAATTTGCCATTTATAAGGACAAAGTTTGGTGCGATGTTTTGAAAATGGATGTGGGTCAAGTTATTCTTGGAAGGCCCTGGTTATTTGATAACGACGTTCACATCTTCGGGCGATCCAACATGTTATTGTTCGAACACGACGGGAAGAAGGTCAAAATCCTTCCGGTTCAACCAAAAGGAAATGACAAGAAGATCGACCCAAATAAATCTTCCCAAGGTGTTAACCTGATTGGAGCCAAAGAAATTGATCGTGAACTGGCCAACGGAGCTCCTATTTTCGCCCTCGCCGCTAGAGAAACTCCGAAGGATATTTCTAACATAGTTCCCCCAGAAGTCGCTATTGTGTTGGAAGAATTCGATGGCTTCCAAATACAATGACACGGTCCCTTTACTGGCAGTTTTTGAGCCAGACCAACCAGTTATGCCAAGAGGGTGGAAGTACCACGATCTCGCTATTGCTGTCTGGCTCTACAGATTCATGTAAGAAATTCTAAGAAAGAGTACTAGGAGGGAAAATGACACTGAAGTGATGATGTGGCATCCGGACAGCATACACGGGATTTTCGCGTAGTTTCATCAGCGAAGGAGACCCAGGTTGCTGTAACACTACGGATTGATTTTTCAATTGTAATCAATTAGTTTGAAATGTTGAATTTATTTTTTGAATTTCGAATTTCATTTGCAGCTAATTAGTTAAGTGGTTGTATTTTTGGTTATGAGAGAGATTTGTAGGGATTTAAGAGGATTTTTCCAAAACTTGTAATTTGGCTTTATTTAAATCTCCTGTAATGCAGTTCTGGAAAATTATTGAAAATGAATGAAATTTGAATTTGCTTATCATGTGCTGTGAAACCCCTAAGGCTAATTGGGATTTTTTTTAATCAGCCGACTCATTCTCTTCCTCTACAAAAAGAAAACAGAAGGACGAAAATCGAAAATCCGGCACTGTTCATCATCTTCTCTCCATCACAATCAAATCGCAACACACACAGTCGCTCCCCTTTACAACCAGCATCAACCGCCGCATGCGATGTAAACGGCACGCGGAAGCCTCCGCCTCGCACCACTCCGCCAAAGCAACCACACAAGCGCAACCTACTCCACGCGAGCGCCGCCCAACTAACGAACCCAAATCCGCACTCGCTCACGCACCTAAGATCCACCTCCGTTCCCTCTCCTCCAACCACCACCCAAGCCCTGAAACCTCACCTTCAAAACAGGCAAACTCCCAGGCCCGACGACCTTCCAGAACCCGATTCCCGTCGTCCTCGCTCTGCTCCGGCAACCACGAACCTCCAGTCTCCCGTCGCGACTCCAAGCCTGCCGCGACTCACCGTCCGCCCGCTCCGCCGTTTGTTGCAGTCCTCAGATCCGCGCGCGCTTCTCCTCTCCATTGTCAACGAACAAAACTACAAGCCGTAGAGGTTGAAGCCTTGGATCTGAGTTGATTTTGTTCAGACGCCCTTGTCCCCTTTCCCTACTTTTGTGGGTTTGTTTGGTTTCAGATCCGAACCAGAAGCCCAAGTGGGTCAGATCTGTTTATTTTGTGTTCAATTGTATTTGATTTGTATTCGTGATTGGCTCGATTCTGTGTGTATGGCTGATCTGAATGCGCGTGATGAGGACTCGTGATAAGATCGCCAGAGACCGCATAGTAGATCTACAATTTCCCCGTGGTTTGATTATCAGTCATTCGAAGAGCTGTGCCCGAGTACGTTGAGCGTTGGTGATCATGCAAGCTCGGGTCGGATTTGTCCGACCCCCCCTCCTCCCGAGGTCAGCAGGGCCCGTCGCACAGTCTAGAGCCCGAAACGCGTTTTCGACGGTTTTAAAGCGGTTTTCATAGGATTTATTTGTTCCAGGGGTTCCCAACTGACTTGATATCATCCACAAACGTGGTTAGGCTGTTGCTAACTGAAGATAAGATCAAATCACTCATTCTCATCCAAATACCCACGCCCAAGGCCTATAAATATCAGCCCAAGGCCTTCATTTTATAGGGCTGGAATTTTATCAAGAGGACGAAATGCTGCTGGATTGAGGAGTCAAGGAGCACAAAATTTCAGCGAAGGTTAGCGAGATCCCGACGAACTTCAGCATAAAGAGGAAGGCTTTCGAAGGATCCGTGTTCGTATTTTCCCCCCGTCCGTTCCTTGAGATTTGGCTTTGTCTTAATCTCGAGAAGAGCCACTGATTTCGCTTGGTTTATTTCAGCGCTTCAAGCGACTACTTCCTTGGTGAAGTAGAAGCTCTATCAATTTTCCGACAACCGGATCTGATCCGCGGTCGTCCACGGATATCGACATCCCCGGCACAGGCGAAGAACCCACGTAAGCAAGAGCCGATAAATGATTCTTGTGTTTATTTTCAAGAGAGTTATAATTTTTTATTTTCGTTATTTGAATTCATTGTAAACGATTAAAGTTGTAATGAAATCGATAATGAAGGTGGCTTTCGACGAAAACATCCATAGGATTGTATCAGAATGATAGATGATACACATATTGATGCAATGATCCCCACTGCATATGTACCCCATTTTAGAGGTCGCAAATGGCTTACTCAAAATGTATTGTCTGCGACAACTCCAAACAAGCATTTAACATATGTCATGGCTGGTTGGGAGGGATCTGCTAATGACTTCACAGTATTGAAGAGTGCACTCTCTTCAGCACCACCAAATGGTTTAGGCGTTTATGATGGTATTAGCATTATCATTTTAACACAAATAATTAATTTAGTAGGATGAAATGGATAATTTTGACATGTAATTTTTTGTGTGTGTAAATATTACTTATGTGATGCCCGGTATACCACTATGCCTGGTTTCATTTCTCCTTATCATGGAATAAGATATCACTTGAAAGAGCACTCTGGTAGGGATTCAAATAATCATCGAGAATTGTTCAATCTTCGACACTCCTCTTCGAACTAAAATTGAAGCATCTTTTGGAATTTTGAAGAATCGCTTTAAAGTTTTATCGGCAAAACCCCATCATCCCTTTTCTACACAAGTTGACATCGTACTTGGTTGCACTGTCTTACATAGCTACATAGCAATTGCGGATCTAGATGATAAGTTTCTTAATGAGACGATAGACGATGAAAATGCGGAGATAGTTACTACTGATAATGATCCTATACTGGATTTTTCTCAAAATTTAACCTCTAAAGAACAATCTGAAGCAAGGGAGGAATGGAAACAAAAGGACTAGTTAGCATGGGATATGTGGGTAGATTACTGTATAAAATTTCGCAGAGGATATACCATTGAGACCCGGATGTACTGAATTAAATATATTGTTCCTCTTAGGCCTTTACTATTAGAGTGTAGTATGTTTCTTATTCTATTTATGAACTCATTTGTCCTTATAACATTGAATTTTGTTTAATAATATATGGTAGCACTAAATGAGTTAAATTTTGTATTGCTAACTATTAGTTTTCCCTTGATAACGCTTCAGAGATGGATTTCTTTGTAACATGTACAGTATCAGTATGCAATTATGTGTTGATTGCTATATTTTGTATTAGATTGCCACTATGAACTTAATGCGTTGGATCTTTGAGATTATCCTTTAAAATTTTTAGTTTTCATTACTACTCAAATTTTTTATTGTTAGTATATTGTTTACTGAATGGGTTGATGTTGTGTTATTTTCTTACAAATTCTATGTTTTGGGTTGTTAGTTGTTATCATGCGCCTTGCAAATGCACTTGCAATTGAGCTTGCACTATCACTTATCTATGTAAATTGATCCATGAATTACATATATTACTGGTTAAAGCATTAGCTTGCCAAAAATAAATAACTGATAGTGCTCTCATATCTGGGAATATAAATATATGTCTAGAATTAGTTGATTAGTGCACTTATACACACACACACACATTAAAGTAAAAAAAATATTTTTTGCACATTATACTTGCAACCATTATTCCCAACTTTTTTTGTATCAAAAGTTCATTTTATTTTACTTCACTACCTTGCCATTCAGATTTTGTTTTTGATCCTTTATTTTCTTTAATTATGCATACAGGATGGGTGATATAACAAAGTTTACAAAGACAACCACACAACCTAATGGCAACACCTCACAAACACCTCAACCTTCAACCTTTGACGCACAAGGCATGCAACCCATGCAATGTTCTATGATGGGGATCAACCCATCTGCTCTGGGCATCACTCCTACTGGATATCCTCATTTTGACCCTCTAACTTGGGCGATGGCTTCAAATACAATGAAAGGTCCCTTTATGCAGTTTTTGCCAGGACCACCAGTTATGCCAAGAGGTGGAAGTACCTACGGATCTCCTATTGCTTCTGCTCCTACAGATTCATGTAGAAATTCTATGAAGAGTACTAGGAGGGAAAATGACACTGAAGTGATGATGGGGACATCCGGACACATACACGGGATTTTCGCCGAGTTTATCAGCGAAGGAGACGCCAGGTTGCAGCACTACGGATTTGATTTCAATTGTAATAAATTAGTTTGAAATTTGAATTTATTTTTTGAATTTCGAATTTCATTTGGCAGCTAATTAGTTAAGTGGTTGTATTTTGGTTATGAGAGAGATTTGAGGGATTTAGAGGATTTTCCAAAACTGTAATTTGCTTTATTTAAACTCTCCTGTAATCAGTTTGGAAAAATTATTGAAGATGAATGAAATTTGATTTGCTTAATCATGGTGTGAAACCCTAAGCTAATTGAATTTTTTTATCAGCCGACATTCTCTTCCTCACAAAAGAAAACAAGGGAAAATCGAAATCCGCACTGTTCATCATCTTCCTCCTCCATACAATCAAAATCCAACCACACAGTCCTCCCCTTTACAACCGCAACAACCCCACTCGAGTAACCCACCGGACCTCCGCCCTCCACCCTCGGCTCAAGCAACCACCACCACCTCCACAACCGCCGCCAACAACGAACCCAAATCCCACCTCCACCGCCACCAAGATCCACCTCCGTTCCCTCTCCTCCAACCACCACCCAAGCGCCTGAAACCCACCTTCAAAACAGCCAACGCCCAGCCCGACGACTTCCAGAACCCGATTCCCGTCGTCCTCCTCCTCCCGTGCAACCACACCTCCAGTCTCCGTCCGCTCAGGCCGCCGCCGACTTCACCCGCCCCTCCGCCGTTTGGTTCAGTCCTCGATCCGCGCCCTTCTCCTCTCCATTGCAACGAACGAAGGGAAGCCTTGGATCTGAGTTGATTTGTTCAGACCCCTCCTCTTTCCTATTTATTTGTTGGGTTTGTTTGGTTTAGATCCGAACCGAACCAAGTGGGTTCAGATCTGTTTATTTTGGGTTCATTGGTATTGATTTGTATTCGTGATTGCTCGATTCTGTTGGTGTATGGCTGATCCTGATGCTGATGACGGACTCGTGATAGATCCAGAGACCGGCATAGTAGATCTACAACTTTCCCCGTGGTTTGATTATCAGTCATTCGAGAGCGTGCCCGAGTACGTTGAGCGTGTGACTCATCAGATTGTCGGTAGTGTGGAAGCCCAGTTAGGTATCAGTTCGTTTCATAGGCGTTTCAGTCCAGACGCGCCACTTCATCCCAATTACGTGGCTCTCGGAGGAGAACTTCCTCCCCTCATTTTTGGCGTGTACGAACCACCACCAGAGGAGCCTCCCGTCGAACCAGTTCAACCCGACGAAGGTTTAATTTTCTTTCGCCCAAATATTTTCGGACCCGCTTTTGCTTGCATGTTGCTATCAATATTATTATCAATCGTATTTGTGCTGTATTCAGTTTGATTAAGTGAGCGAGCGAATCTGTTGCTAAGTACTTTACTTATCCAAATATTACACTTTGAACTGTATTGAGAGAACGAATCATTACATTTATTTTCTGGATCATTTGCAAAAGATTTGAACTTAGTACATTGCAATTTTTGCTTAAAACCCATCGAAAGCTACACTTTATTCTTGAGCTTCCTGCCTAGATCGATCGCTGATTTGGCGAAGCATTGTTGTCGTTAATCTTCATACCTGCATCACATTGTTTCGCATCAAGTGAGTTCCAAATCAAAAAGGCACAAAGAAAATAGTTCTAAGAAAGTTGGGAAGGGTGGGAATGGAAACGGTAGAGGTGTCCCAAATAAGAAATGGGGTGAAGAGAAAGATGACTTTTTGATTCCTTTCTTGGCTAATCAAGCTAGAATGAGAAGAAAGGTTGATAAAGGATTTCGAAAGGAAGCTTTCAACGCCGCTGCAACTGCGTTGAATGAAAAATTCAATAAGAGCTTCAGTGGGGAGCATGTTTATAATCATTATAGAAATTTGAAAACAAGATATCAAGACATGCTTAAATGTTTTGAAATTAGTGGTGCCGGGTGGGATGAGGAAACTAAATACTATAACTGTATCAAAAACAACATATGATTCATTGAGTCCCAAACTGAAGGAATATGTCAACAAGCGAGTTGTGTTATTTTGATGATCTTGCACTGATAGTTGGGGATGATTTTGCTTCAGGTGATTTTAGAAAAGACGTTTACACAAAGTTTGGGGGGCAATCAAGTGAAGCCATCGATATCGATAGTGAGTCCCATAATGTTACTCAGGCTGACAATAACGGTTCAAGGTTGGAAGGAAAGATGAAGAAATCAATCCAAAATGGAACTACTAGTGAGAATGTGCCATCTTCTCATACTTTCCAGTGAAAAGGATCCCGAAATGAAAATGGTCCAGAGTACTTTAACAAGTTAATAGACAAGGTTGGTGATGTGGCTTATTCAATTCAAAATGCACATCTCATCCACTGGACTGAAATTATCCAAATGCTTGTATGTACTTGATGGATTCCCCAATCGTGTATTAGATCATGCTCTGGAGACGCTTTATAAGAATGAAGATGAAGCTAGGTTCTTCATTGTGAAACCTCTTCGTTCTCAAATTTTTTGGATTGAGAAGCATATACATGACTATGGTTTAGCAGTAAATTCTGAAGATGTCGAAGACTTGAAAAATGATGCAAATCTCTCCCGTGCAACGATTACTTTGGATGAGTTTTGCAGCATTTGCTTATAGAATATTAGTTTCTTTCTTAATTCCTTAGAAAAAAAATATATTTCGCAATTGTTATGAGTAATTCTTTTAGCTTGTTATCTTTAAAGAAATTGTCAGGTAGAACAATTACCTTTTTTTAGTTGACTATTGCTATTAGATGCTATCTCTATTTGTTTAATTTTCATTATGTATTTTTTATGGGTTGTTAGTGTTTCTTTGCTAATGACTGATCACTTTTTATTTTATTTATCAGTTCATAATTACAAAATTTTCTAGAGTTTACTGACCTGTATTCAGGTGAGATTAATAGTTTCCTGGCCTGTATTCAGGTGAGATTGTTTATCCCTATCCAAATGCAATATCCTTAGTTTACGCTCCCTTATCCTTGTGTATGTATTCATATATACTTCAGGTTAGATTAATAGTATATCCCTGTCCAAATGCAATATTCCTGTCCAAAGGTAAGCTCGAATAATCCCCAGATTTTACTCCAATGAAAGAAGCCAGTCCAACTTCTAGCTTACTCTTGCAGGTTGGTTTCCACCACCTAGCTTAGGATTAGGAACAAACAGAGATAGTATAAGAGTTAGCAGGAGACCAACTGAAGCCGCGACATTCTCAACCTTGAGAGACTTCTTATCAATCAGAGTGAAAGTCTCAATTTCATACACAAATATGATATTCTTCCCAATTCTAGCAAAATACAAGTCTTCTTTTCCGCCACCCCACCTGAAGTATATATGAATACATACACAAGGAATATATTATTAATCACACCTGAATACAGGCCAGGCAACTCCAGAAACACCCTACAAAATATATCAATATGAATTTTATTTTATTTTACTTATCAATTCATCGATGGTTGAAATATACAGTTTTCAATGGTTTTTAGATGCTAATATAATTTGTTTAGAGAAGAGTGCTTGCAGGTGAATTTGATTTTCAGTAGCTCTGTTCTAGTAGAGCAGAGGAGGTTCGATACAAGTTTATAGTGGTTCTACATACTTACAAAGGAAAACACTAGTACTACATTGAGTTGATTAGATCAAGTGTGTATAGTTCAACGAGGTTTCTTCTTTTTGTGTTTGGATTGATAGGTGCATTTAGATTGATAGGTGCATTTATCTATTGATTTGTGGGCTATGAGTCTGAACATAGCTTCTTTTTTTTAATAGTTTGAACAGGTAAGAATACCCTTATATTTTTAAAAATGACTTCGCGGTAACTTACTTTTATGGGAGGTAAGTATACCAATAGTTTTTGTATCTATAAAGTCTCATTAAAATGAGAATGCTCATTGAATGAGAATTCAATAACAGATTTCGGATCTAATCAATATTGATATACCAAGTATCTTATCTGTTGATACGAAGTAATCTAATCAATATTGATATACCAAGTATCTTATCTGTTGATACGAAGTATTCCGGCGATCCCCACGATCTGAGTCCGAGCTGTTGGAATTGCAAGTATCTTATCTGTTGATACGAAGTATTCCGGCGATCCCCACGATCTGAGTCCGAGCTGTTGGAATTAGAATAGGTTCGACAGTAGATCACGAAATCTTGGCGATCTTCTCTATCTAATGAATGAGGAGTCCGTTTGAAAATCGTCCGCCTCACGCCACCCCCCGAGTATATGATTCAACAGGAATTACACAGGGGTAGATTGATAGATTGATAAATACATAATAAAAAGTAGACGTTCCGACCCGAATCTCGAGCCGGAGAGGCCGAGAGATATAAATGACTCAAATTTTCGGATTTAGTTCAAAATGATCAATATGTAGAATCTGAACAAGTGATTACTGAGATTCGGGCCGGAACGTCTACTTTTCATTTTAAAGAGAGGGTTCGAAAACATATTTATTCTGAATCGCCGGAACGTCTACTTTTCATTTTAAAGAGAGGGTTCGAAAACATATTTATTCTGAATCAGAGGGAGAATGCACTGGAGTACCAATGTCTACCACGCACCTGAATATATATATATTAATGTTCATGTATTACCAAAAACAAGTCATTTATGGATATTAGCTGGAGGTCCGTACAGATCCAGTATAGTGTTTTATTCGCTCCTTGTTTACTAGAAGGTCAGAACGGGGAAATAAGTTGATCCAAATTTATCACCGCGATCATTCAATGCAATATACAAAAATTTCAATTTTTGAATGGAGGGTTTATAATGTAAAACTTATCTGATCTTATCAAATTTTAGAATTTTTTTGGGATAAATCATCAATTTTGCAGAGTATTAAAAATTTTATCGAAAACTTACATCAGCTTGCCAAACAAAGGCTTATCCTATAGAATTTTATTAAATTTTTTCATTTTGTTCATTGATAAAATAAATCTCTTTGACGATTTGTTTTTCATTTATCTGATTTCGCGGATTCAAAATATAATATATATATATATATATATATATATATATATATATATATAACTATATATATTATTGTTAGCCCTTATGTTTTTGATGATGTTTTTAAACCACCATTAACGGTACTAATGGCTTATTGACGGTGCAAATGTGGTAAATTATTTATCAAGCTTGTTAGTGCCATTCATGGAGTTTTGGATGGAATATACGCTTACAATGATGATATCAAAGGAGGAGAGGATATTAGCTTTCTTTTGTTTCCCTCTCTAGTGCTAGAATGTAGGCAAAGAGTTATCGATTTCACTTGAAGTTATTGGGATATCACACACACGTTTTCATAATGCTTTTAAGCGTTTTTCATAAAATACTATTTCTTACAAGTATGAGGATCTATTTGCAAAATTCCTTTTCTAAACAATTTGTTTTTAGTATTAAAAATATTTTACAAAGTTTCACAATTTTTACAAGTCAAATGAATATTTTACAAATTGTTAAAGTGTGTCAAAATCAGGTTTTTGAATGTATCAGAATGCGGTCGACCGCACCGGTCGACCGCACTTAAGGTCATTCGTCACTGGGCTCGGTCGACCGGTGCGGTCGACCGAAAACTCGATTTTTCTATCGGTCGACCGCACCGGTCGACCGATAAACTCTCTGCTAGTTTTCTTTGTTTTCAAAGCTGCTCGCGGTCGACCGGATTTTCGGTCGGTCGACCGAATTCATCATTTCGGTCGACTGAACGTTCTGGCGGTCGACCGAAAGTTTATTCGGTCAACCGAGACTTTTTTTCAAACGGTCGTTTGCCTTGTTTACCGTGCTTTCACTTAACTGTGTTTGGCACAGTCTGTGGCAATAGTCTGAATAGGAGATTATTTTCTTAATTAGGAAGATTGGGTTATGATTTTAAAATGATTAATCTCTCCTTTTTAAACCCAGACTTCTTCTTCTTCCCAGTTGCCCTAACTTCTGCAAAAACCAGAGAGACGCTATTTTCTGAGAAAAATTTTCAAAATCTGTTCTCTGTGTTTTTCTCTCTGTTTTTGTGTGTGTTCACTTCCCAGCTTCAGTATTCTTTCTCTTTGCCATAGGGACTTGTAAAGAGAGTCTTGTACTATTTCTACTGCTTTGTGAGAGTGATCTTGTGTAGATCAACTGTGAGGGAGTGTGATCTATTGAGATCAACTGTGTAGTGTGAGATCGTGAGGGGATCGCTGTGTAGACGAAGTTTCGGCTTCCAAACCGGGTGTGTAGTGGATTTCTCCTCGAGAGTGGGGAGCGGGGACGTAGGTCAGCGGACCGAACCTCGTTAACACATCGCGCGTCAAAGGATAACGATTCCTAACCCTATCTCATTTACATTGATTGCTTTAGATTCTTGTGGTTTGCTTGTGTTATTGCATATTTAGAGCCTCTTGACCCTAATCAACCCCCATCTAGGGTCCAACAATTGGTATCAGAGCTTGGTCTCTATATTAATTTTTGGTTTAACCGCCTTAGAGAAAAGATCAAATGGAGGCTTCTTTGAATATGCATATGTTAGAAGGACAATCCACCACTAGACCACCACTCTTCATCGGGAGCAATTTTGCTTATTGGAAGGCTAGGATGAGAATTTACCTTCGTTGTATTGATCTTAACATCCTAGAGCTCATAGAAAAGAAATATGTAGAGAAGTCTAAAGTCGGGAACATGACCGATGGAGAAAGGCACCAAGCCAATCTCAATGCTAAGGCCATGAACGCCTTAATCTGTGGTCTTTCCCTCAATGAATATAATAGAGTTTCCACGTGTGCAACCGCATACGAAATTTGGGTAAAATTATGTGTCACACATGAAGGAACCCCCCAAGTTAAGGAATCTAAGATTAGTGGGCTTATGCATGATTATAAGCTATTTAAAATGCTTCCTAATGAATCCATTGATGCTATGTTTTCCCGTTTTACTAATATCATCAATGAATTACATGGTCTAGATAAGCAATTATCCATTCAAGAGATGAACTACAAGATACTTTGCTCTTTGACTCCGGCATGGGAGCCCAAAGCCACGGCCATTGAGGAAGCTCATGACCTTACTACTTTAGCTCTCGATAGCCTTATCGGAAAGCTCAAAGTGCATGAGAAGAAGCTCAAGGGGAAGAAGAAGGAGGAAGTGCCATCACGTGAAGTTGAGGAGCCATCACCAAAGTTGAAGACCATAGCTCTCAAAGGAGCTAGTGATAACTCCTCTTCGTCATCGGATAGTGAAGTCGATTTTTCTAGAGAAGTGGTTCATCTCTCTAGAAGAATCTCTAGACTCATAAAAATGAACAAGAAATTTAACCCCTGATCTAACAACAAGTTTTCCTCTCGTGTAGGTAAATGTTTTAAGTTCAATGAACCGGGTCACATCGCTAAGGATTGCCCCAAGCTTAAGGAAAAGTACATGAAGTACAAGAAGAAGAAGGCTATGTATGCCGGATGGGAAGAATCCGAACCAAGTGACTCGGATAGTGATGAAGAAGGAGTCAAACTTGCTCTTCATGACCCCAACATTTGTTTCATGGCAAATGAACATGAGGTAATATCCGAGGCCGAAAGTGAATCTTTCTATATGCAATGTGACATAGCTATGGCTTTAGAAGAGTTGAACTTTGAATTTAAAAGAATGTCTAAAGAATACTCTTCTTTTAAAAAATTGCATGCTTCTTGTGATATTA